GCATTGGGACTTGTACATCTGGGATTAGGTTATTGATCAAATTTGGAGTCATCTTTCTTCTTTCAGGAAATGTGTTTGCAATGTTCTGGAGATCCTGAGTTACAGCAGGGCTGCTGTGTTGTTTTCCTCTGCTAGACCAGGCTCAGTCCCCAGTGCTCTCCTGATGGTGATCACTATCTGCAATATCAGTGTCAATGGGTAGGCCCAATAGGAAAATACAGTAATATAAAAAAGAAAAAATATATCACCCCTTTAACCATCAATAATTTTAGGGAATAAAGGTGGGGCTCTGACAGTACTTTGTACACTGATAGATTTATTAGTTACTGTGGGTGTGAATAAAATGAAAAATTGCAGAGTAAGACTAGCGATCAGTTTGGGTGGGATAGAGAAAATACAGGGAAGAAAGCAAGTAGAATATAAACCGTATGAACAGTAATGCTGTAGCCAGATGAGGTGGAGAGGCCAGAGGTGGACTGAAAACAGAGAGGGAAATAAACATGAGCAGCTCGTGTAGAAGAGTTCTAACCCCCAGGAGATGAGTCACAGGGAACCCACAAACCAGACCCAGTCTACGTACTTCGGGAGAGGAAAATTAAAGAGGAAGAAGTAGGAGGAAGGAAGAGCAGGGGGACAAGAACAGAGCAGAACAAAGTTGACTTGCTTGCTGGGTTCAGGTTTTAGCCTCTGCTCACTTTCCGAGGCTCTTAGAAGCTCATCTCATCCCTGAGCATATTTTGCAAACTCAGGTTTCAGGTACTGACATACTTGTGGGTGGTGTTTTTCTCATCTTTGAGTCTTTCTTTGAGAAACTGCCTTGCAGATTCTGGTTGGGTCTTGTGGTAGTTTAAATGCAATTGGCCCCCATAATCTTGTGGCATTATTAGGGAGTATGGCTTTGTTGGAGTGGGTATGTCATTGTCGGAGGAAGAAGGTCACTATGGAGTCGGGCTTTGAGGTTTCCTATTCTCAGGATACCACCCAGTGTCTTAGTTGACTTTTTGTTGCCTGCAAGATGTAGAATTCTCAGCTACTACTGCAGCACCACATCTGCCTGCACGCCACCGTGCTTGCTGTCATGATGATGATGGAGTGAACCTCTGAAACTGTAAATGAGCCTCCCCAATTAAATGTTTTCTGTATAATAATTGCCCTGGTTACACTGTCTCCTCACAGCATTAGAAACTTTAACTAAGACAGGTCTCTGAGTGTGGTTTACAGACACTGATGATACCTCTGAACAATTCTTCAGGAGTCTACTTGTGAATGCTGTGCCCCCTCCCCGTCAGTGTGATCTTTCCCAATGTTTAAGCACTCCTTACAGCCCCTGGTTCCCCAGGTTTCAGCTTACTGAATGCTGCATAGTTCTGAGTCATACTTTGATCCCCACCGCCTAGCTGTGTTCTGCAAACAGTCCCCTAACACTGGCCCTGAGTTCCCCACATGTGTGGTCTACAGAGCACCCCAGGCTGTCAAGTCACCAACACAGCAGGGACCTTTCTAAAACGGTGTCTGCTCTATTAAGTGCCAAGTGCTAAATGCTAAGTCCTGAACACCAAGTACCTAGAAAGGGAGGGGCTTTTCAGTATCTTCTCTAGGAGCTGTGGCTGCACCGGGTCTCCCAGCCCTTTCTTGTCCTTAAAATGTCTATGACTGCGAAGAACTTCTGAACCTCTCTGACTCCAGTGATCTGATGGTGGAGTCACTCACTGTAGGTGTGAAGCTTCCTAAACACACCCCATCCCACCAGATGGACTCTGAGCCTCTCTAATAGGTGTCTTTTTACTTTCTCTGAACTTTAGGGGTTTCTTGTTTGCTTTTGAAACAGGGTCTCATGTAGCCCAGACTGACTTGAAACGCGCTCTATAGTGTGTAGTCAAGGATGAAACCTTGACTTCTGAAACCTTCTATTTCCACCACATAAGCATATAGCACTACACCTGATTCATACAGTTCTGGGTATCATATGCATGGTTTGTGCATGCTAGGCCAGTGCCCTGCCCACTGAGTTACCCATCTATTATCTTTGAGGACAAATATTCTTGTCACTACCACGCAAAATCTTCTGGAATATGTTAAACTCAGACCAAGAGCTTTTACCAACCCCAAAGCTAAGAATGTCAGCAGAAAGCATTGCAGAGGTTACCCTATTTATATTAAAATATTCAAGACTGACTTGACTCCTGGCTTCTTTTCATATGTAACTGTAAACCTTCTATAAACAGTTTCTGCATTACACATGCTATTGAGGGTTATACGAATCTGTGTTCCTGAGCTTTGGTCTCTCATATTTGACTCAAGAATAAACTATTTTATATTCCCTTTGAGGTTAAAAAATCTATTTTTGTAAATATTAATCTGTTTATTCTTTTTTATTTTATTTATTTTTAATACAATCATTTCTCATTTTATATAGCTATCCCCATTCCTACTTCCTTCCCTCCTCTTGTTTCACCCTTCCTTCCACTCCTTAGAAAGGGTAAGGCTTCCTTCCCATGAGGAGTCAACAAAGTTGACATATCACTTCGAGGCAGGACCAAGGCTCTTCCCCCTATATCTAGGCTGAGCAAGGAATCCTTCCATAGAGAATATGCTCGAAGATGCCAGATCAAGCACTAGGGATAAATCCTGGTCCCACTGCCAGTGTTCCCATAGACTGCCCAAGCCTCACAACTGTTCCCCACATTCAGTGGGTCTAGTTTGATCCTATGCAGATCCCCTTGCTATCAGTCCAGAGTCAGCGAGCTCTCGCTAGCTTAGCTGTTTCTGTGGGTATCACCATCATGGTCTTGACCCCTTTGCTCCTATTATCACTCCTCCCTCTCTTGGGCTGGTTTCCGGAAGCTTGACCCAGTGCTTCACTGTGGATCTCTGTGTCTGCTTCCATCAGTTGATGTCTGAAGGTTCTATGATGATAGTTAGGTAGTCATCAGTGGAAGGCTCTTTAGGCACCCTCTCCGCTGTTGCTTGGAGTCTTAGCTGAGGTCATCCTTGAGGATTCCTGGGAATTTCCCAAGTGTCAGGTTTCTCACTAGCTCCTTAATGTCTCCTTCAAACAAGACATCTCTTTCTTTTTCTCTCCCTCTCTGTCCTTTCCCCTTCTTGAGCATCCTGTTTCCTCATGTTCTTCTCCTCCTTCCCCTTCTCCCCTCCCTCTCCTCTTCCACTCTCCCATCCCCCCACTCCCAATTTTCTCAAGATATTTTTTCTGTTTCCCTTTCCCAGGGAGATCCATGTATGTCTCTCTTACAGTTCTTCTTGTTACCTAGCTTCTAATCTATTTATTCTTATGTGTATGAATCTTTTGTCTGCCTGTATACATGTTCTACTTATTCTTACATGTACAAATCTTCTGTCTGCATGCATGCATGTACACCATGTGTGTGCCTAGTGTCCACGTCGGATCCTCTGGAACTGGAGTGGTTTTGAGCCACCATGTGAGTGCTGCAAATCAAACCTGGGTGATCTGCAAGAACAAGTGTTCTTAGCTACTGAGCCATCGTCTGCAGCCTAAGAAGAGTGTTTCGTACTGTCTCTTTACTGACTGGTGCTTCCCATGGTTCCCCACACAGATTCTTCTACTTTTGCAGCCCTGCCCTTTTTCCTCCGTCTTTCTTGGAAGACTCCTGAGATTGGTGGGGTGATGGTGTTGAGAAACCACACCCCGCTTATTTCCTGTTCGTTGCTCGCCCTCTCATTTCACTCCACCCCCTCGTCTTCAGTTCCTTTTTAAGGTTTGCTCTAAAGCCTGCCCTACCTAAGTCCGCTTTAAAACCTTGCTCATTTGTTTCTGCCATAACTTCTCGTCTAGTTCAAAGCTTTGTTGTCTCCCATGCTGGAGGATAGCAGAAAAGAGCAGGCACAGTGCAAAGAGACATAAGGAAAAAGGCACTGATCTCTGGAGGGCATGGGCCAGACTCAAAACCTTGACATATTTCTGCATGAGGAAAATACATGGGGAATTCACGATAGCTGAAACATTACTCAGGCAAGGTCTGACCCTGAGTTTCAATAAAATGAAAGTACTGATGCCTGACATGGCCACTTCATAGGTCCCTGGTGTGATCAGGATCATGGGACATCATGTCCAGTGCCAGGCAATGAGTTGGCCTGGTGTCTCTCTTCCTGCTGACCACTTGCGATGATGGCTACAAGAGTTCACAGGATAAAGAGAAGTCATCACCTCCATTATGAACATCAGAAATATCTTCACTTATGAAATGATTACAGATGTTCTGTCTCGGGGCCTATGACTCACTTCCTGAGTCTCCCATAGTGTCGTAGGTTTAAAAAAAAAGTTCATTTAGACTCAATAAATTAGAATGAGACCACAAGGGTGAGAAGAAATCTATTCTTTCAAGCAAAGAAATTGTTCCTGATGATGTTCAGTGGAGAAGAATTTGAAATTTCACACCATGAATTTTCCATGAGGGAAGATTGCCAGACAGGAGAAACAGGACTAAGGCATTGTAAAACCGTGCTGGTGTGCAGGTCTCAGGGAGATGAGCTAGCCCTGTGTGGAGGAGATCTGAGTGACGCTCATGCCGGGCTTCTCTGCCCGGCGTTCTTGGCACAGATTGGCTTCAAGTCTAGGGATGCACTGTCTGCAGGGCCCTTGGTAATTTTCTCATGGACTTTCTGCCCACTCATGCTTGGGTGGGCACCTCTGTGTCTTAGCTCCTGACTGAATCTCTATGATTGGGTTTTAAGAATCAAAGGTTATAACAATAATACATACCACATTAAATACAGTGCTTTTTGTGCGAGGAGCAAACTCAGAGCTTTTGTTGGTTTTTCTGAGTGGGAAACCCTCAGGACAGACTAAAGGTACCTTTAATTCACAAGCCAGGTATGGTGGCACATCCTAGCCCTCAGGAATAAGGAGGCAGAACTCTGTGAGTTCGAAGCCAGCTGGGTCTACAGAACAGCCGGGGGGGGGGGGGGGCGGAGATCCTCCCACCCTACCGTAAGGCCTCATACACAACTTCCTGATTCTGCTGGGGTTTTTCTCTGCCTGCTCTCACAGTTGTCGCTGGTGTTCCTGAGAAGCTTTGCAAAGTAGCATGTGTTACTTCAGAAAACAGGAATGGTGTCTGGTCCTGGAACTGCTACTCCTGCCTGTGATATCGGGACTTCAAGGTAGTTTCCACCAAGTGTCTGCTTGTGGTTGTGCACTGAAGGCATGGCCAGCCAGGAAAGGGGAGATGGGACATAGTTCAGCCCTAGAAATGGGTGGGATCTTGGGCAGGGTGCTTCCATGCTGGCGGCAGGGCTATGGGGAGGCTGGGGAGTCTTCTTTAGCTCCGGAAAATCAGGCCCTGTTTCTTTTCACGAGGGGACATGAGAAACAGGACCCAGGGAGATGGGGAAGTTGGGCCCCCTGTATTGTAACTCATGGCTGTTGGCCTATAAAATTACAGGAACTTATTTTTAAGTAAAAGAAGCTCTCCGTGGAGGGGTGCTCCGTTGTTCAGTTGCCATGTTTTCTGTTCAGAAGCAATGTGTCTCGTTAGGTGTTGGGGATTTTATTTATGTAAATAGTCCTGCCCTGAGCTAAAACAAAAGGTAAACAACCACGTCAGAGACAGATCCAGATTTCAGCACTATGGGTGAGCAAGAAGTTACACAGCATTGTAAAACCGTGCTGGTGTGCAGGTCTCAGGGAGATGAACTAGCCCTGTGTGGAGATCTGCGTGACGCTAATACCAGGCTTCTCTGCTTGGCCTTCTTGGCACAGACTGGCTTCAAGTCTAGGGATGCACTGTCTGCAGGGCCCTTTGTAATTTTCCTGACCGCGCTGGGCTGCTTCAGCTCATAGCACAGTATTACGGCCGTTGACGTGGGAGCTGATAGGAAGCGTTGGTCAACTGCTGAGACCAAGTTGGCTGAACTGAACTTTGTTGTTTGCCTAGAATGGAGCATCCCTCTTGACTCTGGGCCTTTCTGTCTAGAATTCTGTGTACTCTCAACTCATCCTGCCTCACCACCGTCTGCCATTTTCATGTGTCTTCCTCCAGGAAACCTTGGGGCTCAGCAATAGTTTATGACTTGCTTTTTATTTCCTTCTGAGTCAGCATCCAGTATTTGCCTGGAGCACAGCAAATACTCAGTAAACAACTGCTAAACAAACGAATGAGTAACTTCAAAATCTTCCTTTCGGTCTACACGTCCATAACTTCATGAGCATTTGACAAGCTTCTTCTCTTTTGTAATGTTTGCCTTCAGGGTAAAGTCTGAGAAACACTCTCTACAACTCTTCCCTCGTCATCTTTAGGGTTCTAAGCTGTCCATTTTCAAGGAGATGATTCAGGAGCGTCCTCTGCTCCTGAGTGGCATTTTGCTATCTCCCTTCAGGTAGAAGGGTGCACTGGAAATGGTATTATACTGGGACCTGGAAGAACTGGTTTTTGTTTGTTTGTTTGGGTTGGTTTTTTTTTTTTTTTTTTTTTTTTTTGGTCTGGGCTCCATCCTGTAGGCCCTTTTAGAATTCTCCTCCACTCTAAAATGGGCGTGATGTCACACTTCCTATGTCTCTGAGGAATTTCTAGTCAGACTCAATGAAGTTGTAAAATGTGAAGCTGCACCCAGGACACACATTGCAGCATGAGGTAGAGGGGAGTGGGGGATACACATAAACGAACTCTCAGAGCCCAACTCTTGCCTGTGCCTCAGATCTGAATTTCTGTTCTTTTTTTTTTTCAAGCGTCTACTCTAGACGTTCCAGACATGTGTTCATAATTTGACTCCCCATTTTTGTTCTGACTTTTTCTTGCTGTTTAATGAGCCCCTCCCCCCCCAAAGCACAAGTGCCGGAAATAGTAGCTACAACTGATTTCACTCATGAGTTGGAGGTGGGTTTCACTAGGTTACTTTTCATTTAAGGAATCGCTCCTAATTGCCGGCGAGACCATGGTGGAGCCTAAAGTCATTTGAAAGGCATTTTATTCATGTGGTAAATGTCTAACTAACTGTAGTGTCTCTTACGGTCAGTTAAGACAAACCAGCCAATGGTGTCTGTTATTTCTCACCTAGCTTTGTGAGTCACCCCTCAGCACTCTCTTCACTAAGGCAGTCACGAAGGCCGATCCAGCTGCAAGAGGACGGGACATCATCGTTGTTGTTCTTTTGAGACAGGGTCTCTTGTAACCCAGGCTGGCCTCACATTTGCTGTGTAGCAGAGAACAGCCTTGAACTTGCAATCTTACTGCCTCTCCTTCCCAACTGCTGGGATTACAGATTTGAACCACCATACCTGACCTCAAGGGGAAGGGACCAGAAACCCATCTACTGATGGGAAGGGTGTTAAAAAGGCAAAGTTGGAGAGTAGGGCCTCCGACATGTCAAATACTGAGCAACGTCCTCAGCTCCAACTTAAAATACAAAGTCCCATAGCCAAGCGTGGTGCTGCGTGCTGCTAATCTCAGCACTTGGGTGCATCTCAGCGAGTTCCAGGCCGTTTTGGTCCACACAACAAGTTACAGGATGGCCAGGGCCACATAAGAAAGGTCATGTGTTAAACAAACAAAAATAAAAATTAAAAACCAAAGCCCTTCCATAGTTTCTCTCCTCCCCAACTTTTCTGTTCTTCCATAGTTAACTGCCTTGACTAATAGCACGCCCATTTCTGCAGTTTCTCAAGCTAGAATTCTAGTAGCTATCCTCAGTCTTTTCTTTCCCTTGCTTTTCACAACCAGATATGTGCTAGTTTATCTCTCTCCATTGTCTTTCATCCTGGACCAAATGATCACTTTCTGGTGTTGACCAGCAGGAGCACGACCAATCCTAATTGCTCTTTTTGGTTCATTCTCTGTACCTACCTGATCTGAACACTGCTATTGATGTAAATTTTCTAAAATAGTTATGTTGATTTCACCTTTTTTAAAATGTGAAACTCCTCAATAACTTCTATGACAAATGAGAGAGCCCAAATTTTGAGTACAAAGTTCATACATCACCTTGCCCTCACCCTGTGTATACTCATCTCATTTTAAATGAATTTTGCCTTTGTCATCTTTGAATGCTGGGTGCTATGATTAGTTAATTGGATTATTAGAGATAGGAAGAACCATCCTAAATTTGTCCTCATCTTCACGTGGTACCCTATATAAAGGTCAAGGAAAGAGGAAGCTTTTGCTCTTTGCCTGCTAGTCCTCATTCTTGCTCTCAAGTGAATGCCTTAACTGGTATTAGTGCCTACTTTTCAGAATTCTTTTGTATACTGAAGACCAGCTTAGACATTCAGCCATATAAACTGATAACTACTGGGTTCTTGGAATTTCTGTCAGGAGACAGGCATTGTTGGGCCACAGTCTGTGAGCCATTCTAATAAATCCCCTTTCTATCAGTTCTGTGATTCTAGAGAACCTTGACTTACACAACAGTTTAAGTCATTTCAGTCCCTAAACCAAGCAAACAAAATGGAAACCTCTTTTCACCTTCTACGACCTTCCACACACTCCATCCTCCTTCCCATTCACACTGTGGAACCTCAAGAGGATGGCTCATATCTGCTTCTCCTTCTCTACACTCAGAATCCATAGCAAACTGGCCTACTACACTCATTCTATCCCCTGTCTCAGAAGAGATCACCCCGGGTATAGTTACCAAGACCTAAATCTAGGGTCTTAATAGTTCCTAAATGGGTTTACATAGGTTTCTTAAATATTTGGTCTCCAGAGAAACCCTGTCTCAAAAAACCAAAAACAAAAAAAAAAAAAAAAAGTTTTTTCTCTCCAGCGCACTCCAGGTGACACCACACCCTTGTCTTCAAGATTCATTTCCATTTCTTTCTTAACAATTTTACTACAACTACAAGATTTGTGGTTTTGGTAATCAGAATTTCTTCTTTAGAACATTTTTCTCTTTTCTGATCAATGCCTTGGCTTGAAATTACGCCCCCCACCCCCCTCATGTGTGTGTGTGCGTGCGTGACTTAAGGGGCTCACCATGTAGCACAGATAACCTTGGATCACGATTCTACTGTCAAATTTTCAAGTGCTGGGATACATTCACTTGCTATCCCAACAGATACAATTATGCCTTTCTAACAGACAGGTTACGTGGATGGACAGAAGCAGGATTATCTCCATTCCTATTATGAGCTACAGGGAAACACTGTTACTTTGCCCTCAGTGCCTAGACACACCACCCACTGCTTTGTCGTCTTGCCAACAGTCATCATCCCCTTTACTCTTGTCTCACCTGTCTTCTAAAGAATAACCGCAACCATTATGAAGGTACAGCAAGACTTTAGCCACCAACGGACCGCTTCCTTAATTTTGCAAGCGGCCATCCCCAGTGATTAGGTCAGCCTTTTTTCGAGTTGCTACATGCAGATGGTTGAGGGAGGCAATGCAACATCCTGTTCACCATGGCGTCTCACCGCTCCCCTACGTGGGAAGGGGCTGGGGCTCAGTTTCTTCTTTTATTCTATCGTGAGTTTTTCCATCTCCTGAGTGTAAGCTGACGCTTGTCGGAGAGGCTGTCCTGGATGACTTAAGTGAGTTCTTCATGGATGAGGGTGGGGAACTTTTGTCCCAGTACCTGTGGTACTTTTGGTTATCTCCAATAAGGAAGTGTCTGGTGGGCCAAGGACAGTTACTTAGAATCTTAGATTCTTAGAATCACAGAACAGATTTCTCTTTTGCAAAGAAAAAAAAGTGTATCATTTGGCCTTAAATACCAAAGTATTAATGGCAAATCACTGACTGAGGCCACATATTAAAACCACATGGAAATAAGAATGAGAGGAAATATGGAATGTATAGCCAAAGACTTAAAATTCTGGACATGATGGCACACAGCTGTTACCCCAGCATTTAGGCAGCTAAGGCAGGAGAATCTGTTATTTAAGACCATCTTTGACTACATGGTGAGGTTGAGCTCAACCTAGGTTACATGACATTTTATCTAAGAACAGATACAACAAAAAGCCCCGTGGGAATATTCTCTTATGCTATGCTCTCTACTAGGCCAGGCACCTGCATACATTGCTGCTGTCAAAGCCCAGAGAGTCCAGGGCATGAGACTGTACAGTATCTGGTTTTTTTTTTAGACTTAAGTGATTCTATGAAGGATATGGTAAAATATGGACTGGACCAATCAGAAGCAACTTGGAACCAAGTGTCAGGGTATGTCTG